GAATTAATGTAGGATGCAGGCTGGACGCATTCCAGTTTTTCTTTCTAAATATGGCCAAGTATTTGTAAAGAGCTTCCTTGGGGATCTTAACTTCAAACTTTTTCTGAATTTAACACATTCTATAATACATCCTTGCTTCAGTTTTGTGGCTAAGTTAGACCAGTTAAATGTATGTAAATATGTCAGATAAAATGTTTAGATAAAAGAATAAGAGATGTTGGCCTAGATGTGTAGAAACTGGAAGACTTGGGTATTATTGTCAGCATTTGTATAATGGTGCAGAAATTATTTTTAAGAAACTATAGAAATCCCTCATAAAGTTAAAAATAATTGAAATTAAATGAAATTAAAGAAGTTGCAAGGATGAATTACACCTATACCCACACATACCTGTGGGTGTCAACACGCATGTACAAAATACTCATGTGTTAAGGAAAGACACAGTTCCAAGAATTATGCAAAGGGTATCAGTAAAGTACTTGGAAAGAGTAACTGCATAATAACAGAAATCAGGAATTAATTTTTATAACCATGTAATAAAAGTTTTGGGCTGGGAAGGTGGCTCAGTGGTAGAGTGCTTGCCTTGCATGCATGAGGCCCTGGGTTTGAGTCCTCAGCACCACATAAACAGAAGAAGCCGGAAGTGGCGCTGTGGCTCAAATGGTAGAGCGCTAGCCTTGAGCTGAAGAGCTGAGGGACAGCGCCCAGGCCCAGAGTTCAAGCCCCACAACTGGAAAAAATAAAATAAAAATAAGTGTCAAACTTCATTTTTCCAAGTAGGTATCCATTCATTGAAGAGATTATTCTCTCTCCCTCCATCTCTTTCTCTCTCTCTCTCTCTGTCTCTCTCTATGTATATATATATATATATGTATATATATATTTATGTGTGTGTGTATATATATACATATATTTGATCCCTTCCAAATGTTAATTATAGGTGCTTGGACTCATCTCTGATTACTGAAAATGTTCTGTTTGTCCATGTGTCAGATTTTTCTGGTCAGTTCTACATTGTTATGTATGAATACTTTTGATCTAAATATGATTTTAAATTGAGAAGATGAAGCCACCATTTGTGTTCTTCTTAATGTTCTGTATCTGTCCTAAGGTTTCTTTGTAATATTTTTTCTAAATTGTAGAAAATTGTAGTGTTTTATACCTGAGTAAAATCTGATAGTAGAATGTTACATCTGTAGCTTGCTTTGCATAGCACAAGCATTCACGTGATATTGATTCCTGAAAATTATTAACATGGAATACCTTTATTTATGCTGTCTTCAATTTTCTGGCTTCACCTTAGTTTCCAGTGCATAATTCTTTTAGTTTTTGTTTTAATTTCTCGCAAGATAAATGGGATAAATAAATAATTATCCCAAGATAAATAAAGGGATGGCCACAGGCCTGCAGCCCTCTGGCCTCAACACACATTTGCTGAGCCTCTGCCTCCTGAGTATGTGAGACAGCTGATGGTTCCTTTCTCAAAAAAGGTACACTAATAGCACAATACAAACTTTATCCCTTCGGCCTAACCCTTATATCTTGGTAGTATCTTTGCTTGAGTTATATTTAAGTACCTACTAATTTACACATAGATCATAGCAGTGATACATGCCCATAAATTGGTAAATGGATAAAAATGGTGATATACTGCTATGCTCTGGAAGTAAGGAAATTCTACCATTCGTGCAACACAGATTGAAGGGGAGATGACCATGTTAAATAAAATGACCATGTCCTGTGTTGCTGGGATCTAAAACCATAAAAATTGACAATAGAATGGTGGTTACCAAAGACAGAAGAGAGAAGGAGCGAGAAAGTTTAGGGTACCATTGTATAGTAAGATGAGAATACATAGGGAAAGTGTGCTGTGTGTTTTCAAAACACAGAACTCAGAATTTTGAATGTATTTACTATAGTGAAATTATAAATGTGTTGAAGGCATAGATATGTATAAGCTGATTTACATGTACATGCACCAATTGTAGCCCATAGATGTATTATTTTTGTCTCATGTATCAGTTAAAGTAATATAATAAAATTAAAATATTTTATTAGAATGGATATCATAAAAATGAGATAATATATAAAAGGGAGAGATTTAAAACTGTGCTACAATAGGCATAATAACAAAAGAAAAATGGAAACTAAGGATTCTGAGGAAAATGCAAGTTAAAAAAAACGTATCTGTGAGTCACCTGCTTAGTATTATCCTGTTTAAATTCTTTGAATGATTTCACTCTTTTATAAATGTTCACAATCCACAGGTAGGTTATCTTTTCCTGCCTAATTTTCTACTGTCAAGTATCATAATGTACTCTAATATTCTTCGAGTACTAGAAAAACCTTTTTGTTTGTTTCCTTTCTTGTTTATATGACACTACTAAACACAGGTGTGCAGGCTTTTGTCTGTGAAGGCTGCTTCTTGTCTCTAGGTTGAATTAGTACATCATTCTCAAGGACAATCATTTCCCTGCAATAGTAGGGTTCTTTCTACAGGCATTGAGCAGAAAGCTGCTGACAGCTTCCAAGCTATCCTACCTGTTATTCTTGCTGTGTAGGAAAAAAAAACAGAATCGTATTGACAAATTCTATCCCATAGTAAGTGCCCAATAACTGTTTGTAAATGCACAGAAATACACATATGATGAGACGGAAGATATGAAAATAATGACTTCTTAGTACATAATGTCTTGTCCTGTTTGGATCTGGCTAGTATGCCAAACCACTTTGTCAATAAAAAAAAGCAAACTGTTTAAACTCTAGCCACATGAATTAATCCTTCAGCAGCTGCTTGTCACCAAATCTGAAGACATTGATCCAGGAAGTTTAAGAGAGAATCATGCAAATGATCATTTCAATCTAGGGTTAGTATACCTTTATTATATTTTGATGAATGACAATAATTGATAAGGAAGACTTCATCTGGAACAATTGCCAGAGAAGAGCACATCGCGTTCAGATCGTAGGTGTGCAGGGCCTGCCCTCAGCGTCCACTTTCTAGTGCTCAGCTCTGAGAGGGGGTTGCAGTGTGTTAGCTGCTCATCTGGGCACTGGGGTGACACCCTCCCGGGGGCTGAATGCCCAAGAAAGCTCCGCTCTACTGCTTGTAAATGACTCAGCTGTGAATCCAGTCAGTCCAGAGAACCTGCCAGATACCATATCCTAAGGTACCTTCCATTGCTGTTAAACGTTATATTACTGGCTCCTTGCGCCTAGTGGTACTGCCAATTCTCATTAAATGAAGCGGGAGCTGAAAACTACAATAGTAGAACCAGCAGCAGCAATTGTAGATGCTATTTGCAAGAGACTAGCAATCACACGTTGATAATTCTTCATCGCTTTCAATAAACTATTTTCATTCACATTGTAAATATCTCTATCCTTAGCTTGTAGTTTCTTTTCCCTGTACTTATATTGGTATTTACACTTTTCTATGCATTTTCTTCTTTTGTAAGTTCTCCTAGTTAATGCTCGGTAGTTAATACTACCGAGTATTTCTACATTTGAAAATTTCTTTCCTGTATTGAAAGTGGTTAAAAAATCAAACAAGATTATTAGTATCCAGCTGTTTCTATGAAGGTGTATGTGCAGGTTTCTCCAGTCATTCTTTGTTAGTACTCATTTCTGATTTTAAAGACATATTTCCTATCTATTTTGTATCTCCCTGTACTACGTAGTGCAATTTCAAGAACTGGCTAGTTAAGTCATTGTTACATCCCTTATGAAAATTGCATTTCAGGAATTCACACAAATAGTAAATAATGATATAAAGGATGAACTTTAGTTGTTGAATCCAAGATTACTGAGAAAAATATTGTCAACTTGAATTTATTTATTCATTTATTTTGTGTCATACTTTTAATTGAGTCAGTGAAACCCAACACAGTTAAATCCAGTTATTCCATATTTAGTATGTCACTTTTCTTTAATTTTTTTCTATTCCTTTCCTTGTTGGTGTTTTGGTAGAAAGCAGAGATAAAGCAGCATTCTAGCATAGTTGCCTGGGAAAAGTAGGAAGAAGGTGACACTTGACAAAAGGTAAGTGAAAAGCTTAAGGGGAAATGTACAGAACACAGTATTCAAAGAAATTCATTGACGTGTATGATTTTGTTGAACATATTTTACATTATTCATTGAAACTTATGAATTTCCCTATGATGGAGGAGTATTCATATTTGTATTTTATTTAAATTGTTCATACCATTCTCCTGTTTTGGTAATAAATGTTTAATTGCTGGAAACTATAGTAAAATATGTTGGTATCTGGAGACTGGAACTAATTTCACATGTAAACTAAATTTACTCATTTTCCATTATTGTCAATATAAAGCAGCTATAATGAGGTTTCTGGGTATTAGGTAACCCTATAGAAATGCTAAAGTCACCCTATTAGGTAACCTGTTAGGTTCCCTTAGAACCCAAGACATAGTTTTTAAATCTTTTCATAGCATTTTTCATTTCTTTATTTCTCAGTGTATAAATGGCTGGATTTAGCAAAGGCGCTATAACAGAATAAAACACAGCAAGAATTTTGTCCAACCATGTGATCTTGAGAGGCCACACATAGATGTAGATGCATGGCACAAAAAATATGACCACCACCGTGATGTGGGCGGAGCAGGTGGACAGGGCCTTCGAGGCGCCAGTTTTGGAGCTTTTGCGAATAGTGACAAGAATATACATATAGGACATTAGCAACAGAACAAAGCAGGTCACTACCACCATCCCACAGTCTATGTTGACTAACATGTCCAAATGGTGAGCATCCAAGCAGGCCAACTTGGTGACCAGAGGAATGTCACAGAAGAAACTGTCTATTTTTCTGGGACCACAGAAAGGCAGTGGTAAAATCACAGCCAGCTGACTGATAGAATGCACAAAGCCAATGAGCCACGAAGTCAGCACCAGCTTAGTACACCTCTGCAGGCTCATAATGGTGGAGTAGTGGAGTGGTCTGCAGATGGCCACATAGCGGTCATAGGCCATGACCACAAGGAGCACCATCTCACTAGCAGCAATGAAGTGGGCAAAGAAGATCTGGGACATGCAGCCTCCAAAGGAGATGGTCTTGTTCACCCTCAGAAAGTCTGCGATCATCTTAGGGGTGCTGACGGAGGAGAGCCACAGATCCACAAAGGACAGGTTGGCCAGCAGGAAGTACATGGGGGAGTGGAGGTGAGGGTCAGTGATGATCAAGATCATGATGACAGTGTTCCCTGACAGAATGATGACATAGAGCATCAGAAATATCATGAAGGGGAGAACCTGAAGATTCTGTGTGAAGCCAAGTCCCTGAAGCACAAACTCTGACACTGTGGACTGATTGTTTCCATCCATTTTTTTAATTCAGAATGTCCTTGGAAATAACTGAGGATAAATTGTCAGTTAATGAGATGAGAAAAGGTACTTAAGATTTAAAATTTGATATTCACATTGAAATTTAACAGCAATATCAAAAATTAAAAATTGTGGCAGCAAAAGTCCTGGCCAAATGAAATTATGCCCTCCAAAGAAGCTAATTAAATTAGATTTCCAAGAAGTAGAACAAGAGGTGTGATCTTAATTATTTTTTGAGGTGTGATTTTTTTAATTGAAATGGGTTGTTGGGAAAGTACTCTCACAATAAGGGAATAGATTATAGCGGTAACAAGAAAGCCTAACAAGTTTACACTCCCACCAGCAATGCAGTAAGGTTCCCTTCTGTCCACATCCCCTCCAGCATCTGTTGTTATTAAGAGTTCTTGATTTTAGCCATTCTAACTGGGGTGAGGTGGTATCTCAATGTTGTTTTGATTTGCATTTCTTTTATGGCTAGGGAAGTTGAGCATTTCTTCATGTGTCCTTTGGCCATCCTTCTTTGCAACAATGAGATGTACAAGTCGTTATGTCGAAAACGAACTTTACAACTTTGGTTTGGGGGCGTGGGGAGGATTAGGTGGTGGGGCAGGGGGAGGAAGGGAAGGGGAAACAAAGGAGGAGGCTACAATGCTTGATAAGAAATGTACTCATTATCTTTCCCATGTAATTGTAACCCCTCTGTACAGTATTTTCACAA